CAGCTGAATGCAGTTAAAACCTTTTAAGAGGCCAGTAAATGTGGCATCCTCTTTTACACCACTCTATCTGCCTCTCCTTGGCTACAGCTATTCATTAGCTCCGGCCCCTATGGCAATGAGAGTCTTTAACCTCCATTAGATCTAATGTTGATATGTTTCCCCAGCAAAGAGCCAAAACAATTAACACCCCTTCTCACATTTCTCTCCCCTTGGCCTCTAACCACATCAAAATCCGGGTCCACCCGTTCATTAGGCACCCCTGAGAATGCCCTCGGGGACGGAGGAAGTCAGATCCTTGGCTGTTGTCTTTTGTATGGAGTGGGAAGCCAAGATGAGTTTAACTAAACTTAACTCAACAACAATGATATAGTGTATTAAAACTGTGCAGCAGGTTTTGGTCATTTGGAAACCACGATGACAGTATCAGTGTTTCCTCTTCATGAATGCATTATACATACAACTACAGTGGAGTTTGTTTTGCTGCAGTGAACAACCAGTATTGCTATGCAGGGCAGAACAATGTACCCTGCTTGGGGGAGTAAATGAACCAACTTGGACCATTTTCAACTCTTTTTTTGTTTGTCCACTTCTAATTTGCAAATAAAAAAATATTTTAGAAAAATATAATACCTCCCATGTTACGTGTTTTATTAACATAATGAGGACAAGATAATAAATGTATTTTCCAAGTAATTAAACGTTGCATTTACCAACAAATTGTTGAAATTATTGTTTTCACCGTCTCTTCTCATGAACACCAAAGCAGGATTCGTCTTTGCTTTATGTTTATGTTTTGGCACTTGAGGCACTTGGCTAATGTTAGGGGAAAAACTGAGGTCTTGGTTTGATAATTAAAGAGACAACACTGAAGCACAAGACAGGACATGTTCACTTATAAACATGTTACTGAAACCAGAATTTAATAAACTGACAAGCTTTTTATGCCACATGTACACACGTTGAAATTAAGATTCAAACAGTCATCTCTGATGTTAAAGCATGTTTCTTTTTTTTTTAAATGTAATTGGCAAAACGAATGAAATGTACATCAATGGCAATTCTGGATGTCATTGGTTTCTGATTTGGGAGCGCCGCAAGGGATCCAAAAAAAAAATAAAATGTTGGGAAAAATATATAAGGCAATCATTTAGAAAGTCACAGAACTTTTATAGAAGGCACTCCAAACGTCAAGCACTTGTTTTTAACAGTGCACATGTCTGTAGCACATGAATTGACCAAGTGGATTTTTGGCAAACAAAGTCAACGTGACATTCCTTTCTTTTAAATATATACATGAATTGAGATCAATTTGTAAAATTTCGAAATTTCCATTCCGGGACACAAAGTCAAACACCCTCTGTGGGCCCGAGCAGATTTTTGTATTTCCATGTACCTGTTGCACGACTGAAAGCATTAGCTAAGCCGTGCAGCACATCTGCTGCAAAGCACTTTTTATTTTGGCAACAATCTGAGCTCAGAGGCTCTTTGTCACTTCAAAACGGGGAAACAGCAACCCTTCAAGTGTTTAGCTGTCAAGTGCAAAACGTCTTGACCTTCTAACACCCAGAATAGACCTCTTTTATTATCCAGGAAATTCCTAGTTTCCTTACCTATAGGTGTGGTGCAGTTGTCTGAGTATCAAATGTCTCACACTAACACCAGTGGTCCTGTGACTCTAACCGCCAAATAGCTGAGTTGCTCTGACGCAGTTCAGGGGAGTATACGTCTGACCCCATGCCGGAGAGTATATATTTGTGCGCAACGTTAAAAGGAAGAGGTCCAACGATTGTGGCGGTCCATTGATATAATTGATATCCATCTAATCTCCTCTCTTCAGGGGGAAAAGCAGTTTTGGTTTCAACACTTAATTTGATAATCTGCAAGAAAAGCACAAACGGGACATTCTGCATTCTTAACCTTTCCTCAACTTTGGCACTCCCAGAGGCAGGAAAGGAGTATCTTTCACCACAGTTATTAGTTCACAGAGACACCCTTGACCTCTGCGGTGGTAGCAAACTGTCAACATAGCTGCTGTTATTGTAAAACAGGTCCACTCTCTTTGACTTCTATTGGATAACTCAGGTCTATGTGTTTGGGTTTCCACAAACCTGGGTTTAAGAATATTCACATTCCAATTAAACAAAATACGGCTACATTATAAAACAAGTTATTATTAAAAAAAGAAAAATACTGGAACATTCAACTGAAGTTTGTGGGGTTAAAGATTTTTGAAAAAAAACATAATAACCAAAAAGTTACAACTTGTGCTAGAAAATAAAGATTCATATTTTTTGTTGATATTTAAGAGACTTTTTAGAAATAAAAAGCATACAAGTTGTTAACTTCCCTTGCCTGTATTTAATGGGATATTAAATGTTTCCTCTGAGTGAGATAGCTGAAGTAATAGTATTTCCATTCATTGATAACCTGATATGTGTATTGTATGAAATGCACAGACATGAGTAATGAGCAATGTGTCTTTCATCCTTCATAGAATGTTCAGACTTCAGAGGCGCTTCTCCTCAGATTTCTTTCTCTTTTTTGGGAGCCGGAGCTCACAAGCCATTTTATATATTTTACATCACACACGTCAGTAACCTACAAAATAAAAATAATAATAATAATCATGATAAAATGTTATTGGCAGAGGTTTTTAATCATATAACAAAAAGGGGAATTTAGGCTGTTAAATGAAGGTATTCCTCCCCTGATTGACTTATTAGAACGTAAGAGCAGCTTAAGAAAAGCCTCCTGGAGATTAACATGATAAAACTCCCTTATATGAGCAATCTGACGACTCCTTCTTTCAGAGGGAGTGAGTATTTAAAAAATTGGGTGAGTTGTGTTGGCGTCTACGTGTGCGTGTGCACGTGGGTGCGCGAACGCTTGCGCGCATCATTGAGCGACTCAAAGCCCGTATAGAAGAAAAAAAAACACTCGAAGTGAGAGGCAGGGGAACAAAGTTTTCCGTCTTTGTCTTTCTCTCTCGCTCTCCGTGGTTGTGCCACCCCCCCCCCCCCCCGACCCCCCCTTCCTAAAATGAAGAGGTTGTGGTGGTAATTAAAGTTTAACAAGACCCAAAAAATGCTGTAACGGAAATGGGTTATTGCGCTAAGCACGTGTCATTGTTTACCAAGAGTCACATTTCTATTTTTTTTCCCCTGGAAAAAAAAAAAAAAAAAAAAACCAACACGTTAATTCTGCCTGTTGGAGACGTCAGATAATTAAAGGATCAGTCTCCTTATTAATTACCAATATGATAATCAAGTTAATTTCTTTTTCTCCCAGTCTTTGTTTAGAGAGATTTTCAGTGTCAGCCCACCCCCTCCAACCATCACATTTACCCCCCCCCTGCACACATTTCCCGCGGGTTATCACAATTGCCATTCCTCCCCTCCTTTCTGATGTGTTACCCAGATTACCATCAGTGCCCCTCAGATATTTTTTAACGGATCCTCGGCGCTCGGCAATATCCACTCGGAGCCATCTGGTGCAGATCAGAATCTACTGACTTCTTGGGCTTCAGTCGTTATGGCATTAAATCTAGATCTACAGAACCCCCCGTTAGCTCGGGAGGTGGGTGATATAAAGAATCAAATCCAAATAGAACTGTTAAAACATGAGCGGCCCCCTCCCGCGAGCCACATGGCCGTGTCAGGAGTGGAGAGCAAAGGAAAGTAGAGGTTAGAGTCCGAGCTGCTTCCTCTTTTTTTTTTTTCGGAGCTGAAAAGTGGATAAGCGGTTCAAGAGGCGGTGACCAAAAGCATCACTTTCTTTCTTTTTTTTCTTTCTTCAATTCCACACAGTGGAATTATATTTTTTTTCGATTTGTATTTTTTTATGAAATACACAATTTGTGCTTTTTTAGGAGTTTAAAAGTCACAGCGAGCAGGTTTCTGACTCTTGTTGCGGACTTTGTTGGGGGTTCGTGGGTTGAGAATGATTGTAAGCCGCTAAATTAAATTAGGGAGTGAGAATGTCTAACATCCTGTGGGGGGCAGAGAGCCGCACACAGCCCGGTGCCTCGGTGTTTGACTTGTCCCTGTTCCCTATTCCTCGTTCCCTTTCACTCAAAAAAACAAAAAGGTGAAGTGGCTGAGCTGTTACAAAGGACAACAACAATCTGGTTTAAGTCCATTCACACACACACACACACACACACACACACACACGCACACACACACACACGCACGCACACACAGCTCGTACAGAAGAGAGAGAATTTGGCTTATTAAACCTTTATGAAGAAATCAAAGGAAACCAAAACAGAAGTCACCAAACATACATAATTAATAAATCACACGGATGTATTTTACTGCTTTTCTTTATGCAGGAAATTAGCTTTTTAAACGTCAAACTCATATCGTGAGCGGACATATAATACTGATATCTTTTTTAGGTGGTAATTTTACTAAATCAAGTATTTTAGTATTCCGTAAACTAATAAACAATGAGTATATTCAACTTTCTTCTGCTATGAAAACAAATAATGAACATAATAATAATAAAAATAATAATAATAATCCAAGACTGAGGACGACAGCGCGCATTAAATAAACGCAGCAGCAGCAGCAGCCCGGGACAGCAAATAGTAATTCCTCTGCGCATTTCCCCCCGTTAATTACAAATCTATTCAAAGTAAGTTTTTTTTTTTTCCTCTGACGGTTTTACTTCCCCCGGTGTCGGACAGCTGTAAAATCGTGTAGACAGGTTGTCATACAACAATCAAAGCCTTCGGTGAATGGACTCTAATGCCTGAACATTTAACATACAATAAGTCCAAACCCGGGGAGGGAGAGAGAGAGGGAGAGAGCCCCTCGGAGTCCCCGAGATAGAAAAAGAGAGCGAGGGCCTGAGATAGAGGGAGAGAGAGAGAGGGGGGGGGGGGGCGGAAGAGAGAGAGAGAGAGAGAGAGAGAGAGAGAGAGAGAGCCCCAGCCAATGTGCTCACTCCATATTCACATTATCCACATTGCTCCAAACGAGGAGGAGCTTGCAGGCTCAAGTAGGGGATGCCATCAAAGCATCAACTTCAAATTGTATCTGAGAGATCAGCCTGGAGACCTCGGGCCAGGCGCGTCAGTCGGAGCGCAATTGTTGATCAGATCACATCCAGCGGACTTTGCGCGAGAAAAAGAGAGGAAAGCCGAGATTTAACAGAGCGGGTGGTTTGACTGCACACCACTGTGGTAGCTGTGACTTCTTCTAAAAACACGTTCCCGTCGCTCCTCCGGGTTCTTTTTTTTTTTTTTTCCATTATTTTTTCTCTCGCACACTTTTCTACGCGCAGTTTTGTCGGACGGCACAACCCGCGCGACAGTCCGGAGGTGGAGATGTCTTTCCCGCAGCTCGGCTACCCGCAGTACTTGAGTGCCTCCCAGGCGGTGTACGGGAGCGAGAGGCCGGGAGTGCTTACGCCTTCGTCCCGGGGAGGGAGCACTGAAATCGGGGGAAGCCCGTCCGCCACCGCGGCGGCGGTCACCTCGGTGTTGGGCATGTACGCCAACCCGTACGCGCACAACTACAGCGCTTTCTTACCTTACACCAGCGCGGACTTGGCTCTTTTCTCACAAATGGTAAGAATCGATGTTGATGGGTTTTTATTTTTGTTTGTTGTGTTGTTTTTTTGTTGCACAGATTGTTGCGATTGTCTAAGCGTTAAATTGGCACCGAGGTGTGCTGGCTAATGTCAACACCGCGAATTGAGAAATGCAATTTAGATTGCTAGATTGTTTTATATATATGTCTTAATATCACCCAATATTTACCCAACGACTCCCAGTTCAGTGGCTTGTTTCTGCGAGTTCTGTCAGTCGAGTTTGAGCTGTTGCTACAAAACAAAAAATAAACACCAACTCTGATTCAAACGGATAGATGTTTCCCATTTACGCAAAAGTTGAACCAAAAAAATGCGCTTAAGCAAAAGTAAAAAAAAGTAAAGAAAAAGTTTCTACTCGTCTTTTTCCCGGTGCCAGATTAATTGCTATCAGATCATTAGAAATAAAGTCCACGTTTCAACTTGTATGCTGTTAACATGCGACACTATTTAACCATCGGGGCTTTACTTCTCTGACAGTCTTTCCCGCTTGTCATGATCGACCGCCACATGGGTTCTTAATGTGTCCGGGTGAGGAATTGTCAGACATCTGTAGCTGGTAGAAGTAGCCTTCAACTGGTGACAATAACTAACTAGCAGCGTGTTGGCAGATGTGTGCATCAGGCAGGCGGCTTTGAGCTGAAGCTTCAAAAACAAAAGCCATTAAGCGAAAAACGGTGTGAAGTGATCGATATGATTGAGTGTTGTGCCCCAAGCCAATACAACTCAGCCGGAGTAAATGTGGCACGTTGGGAGAACTTCATGGGCCTTAAAAGTGCGTTGACATTCTTGAGCAGTGTTTGGCAGGTAAACCGAAAAAGCTTAATGCCACCTGCGTGTTCGCAGTGATGCGACGCATTTTTCCCTCTCGCCCCGTTGACTTTTTATTCGCTTTTTTTTTTTTGGACTTGACGTGTACACGCAACATGCTTTCTATCAAAGGGTCTTTGCTTTGGAGTTAGCCCCTTTGTGCAAAGTCAGGTGTGGCAGGCCTAGCATGTGGTATTTTGCAAGTTGAGAAGCGTATTTGTGGAATGCTCGGAGTCAGGTGAAACTTTTTTTTTTTCAATCTCACGTGTTGCGCGTAGAAACAATGAGCAACGTGCATTTCAGCAACGTTGTAAAAAAAAGGGAAATTATATTAAATACAATATCTATTAGTATCGAACTTGCAAACTGCGTTCTAAAAGTCCCCGTTTTCCTTAATTTCCCAGGGATCGCAGTACGAGCTGAAGGACGGTCCTGGCGTCCATCCCGCCAGCTTTGCAGCGCACACGTCTCCGGCCTTCTACCCTTACGGCCAGTTCCAGTACGGCGACCCGGCCAGGCCCAAGAACGCCACCCGGGAGAGCACCAGCACCCTGAAAGCCTGGCTCAATGAGCACCGGAAGAACCCGTACCCGACCAAGGGCGAGAAGATCATGCTGGCCATCATCACCAAAATGACGCTGACGCAGGTCTCCACGTGGTTCGCCAACGCCAGGAGGAGGCTCAAGAAGGAGAACAAGGTGACCTGGGGAAGCAGGAGCAAAGAGGACGGGGAGGACGGCAACTTGTTCGGCAGCGGAGACGAGGGGGAAAAAAACGAAGACGAGGAGGAGATTGATTTGGAGAGCATAGATATAGATAAGATCGACGACAACGACGGGGATCAGAGCAACGAGGACGACGACGATAGGTCGACGGAGGGGAGCAGGGACCACCGGGGCAGTGTCGGTGCGGGTGGAGAGTTGGACACCTTGGAGAAAAGACGGGCCTTCGCCCTGCAGGCCCACGAGGCCTTTGACAAATCTAAGAGCGCAATTCTAGTTCACCCAGGGAGTAAGGAGAACTCGGACGGCAACAACAACAACAACACCACAAGAATATTGTCCCCGGATAGAGCCGGGAGCTTTCCTCTCCCGTCAAACAATAAGCCTAAAATATGGTCTTTAGCAGAGACCGCGACCAGTCCAGATAGCTCTTCCCAGAAACCCACGTCCCCTTGCGGCCCAGGGGCCACCACGCACTCGCCGGCGGCCCACCATCAGATCCAGACCCACCCAGCCTTCCTCCCCAGTCATGGACTGTACACTTGCCAGATTGGAAAGTTCCACAACTGGACAAACGGGGCTTTCCTGGGTCAGAACTCCCTCTTAAACGTGAGGTCGTTTCTGGGAGTAAACCAGCACCACCACCACCACCAGCACCACTTGCAGGCCCAGCAGCAGCAGCAGCAGCCGACATCAGTGGTGGTGTCGCCATTAGCAGCCGCGGCAGCACTCAGCAGTGACAGCAAGGCCCGACCAGAAGCCCACAGTCCCAAGCACATAGGTAGGAAAACAGCCACACACACGTCACTTTTTTTTAAATTAAAAAAGTACCACGTATAACATTAATAATTTAATAACTTTATGTATACTTTCACAATTAGATCAACACATCAAGCGTTTGCTATTTTTTAGTCAAACATGTTGATATTTGTTAACATATAATTTGAGAATTATCCAGCCTTTCAAGTGCTGATACCTGTTTTGCTTATTTCCCTTTTAGAACACGAAAACGGTGGCAGGTCCGATTCACCTCCAACGCAGATTCTGAAGTCTTCTTTTCGGCCCATCCATGACCGGTGAGACAAGTTTCTACTTGTTTACCTTTTTTGAAAATACGAGGTGATTTATTCATGCAGCAATGTACTGTATATAACAGGAACGTTTTTAAATTATAGCTGCAGCTATTACTCGAACAGTATCGAGAATGCAATTGTTTATCTTTAAAGTCGTTCTTGTTATTTTTATTTTAATATAAAACCACGGAAGGTAAAATTACGAACTGAGAATATACAAAGATAAATTAAAGACAGTTTGCTTTGCGGGTGACAGGGGTCCCGACTCCCATCCAACACCCCCTTTAATTCCTCCCCTCTGGGGAGACTGTGGCTACTTATCAAGTCACCGAGTAAAACGGGCTCTGTCTGGGCTGTGTGCTTTCCCTAAAGACCCTTGGGAAACCCGCAGCCCTGGGGATCGCTCTTACCGAAAGGGGAAAAAAAAAAAAAGTTTACCCCAGTCTCAAGTAGGCCTCTCACAAAATGCCCTCTTTGCGTGCAACAGTCCTATAGAAATAATAATAAATATTATTTGCATATACAATTAGAAAATGTTGACGAAATTAAAAGCATTTTTATTTTTCGATGTGGTTATTATTATTATTATTATTATTATTATTATTATCATCGTCATTAGTATCGTTATTGTTAATGATATTATTATCAGAGAAAGTAAGTGGGGGATTAGAGAGGAGGACTGCCGTCTGTTCCAAATCAAAGCTGTTCAGCCAGACAATTGAGATGCATATTGAAACCCGCTGTCCAAACACGGCGGGGGTATTTATCTACCTTTCTGTATTATTCTTATCCAGATCCTCTCTGCCCTCCAGCGCCAGGAGTCCACAAGACGCCACGCAACGAGTCCTCACTGCGCTCTCCTCGGCTTGATCAAGACGTTTTTTTTTCCGTGCGTGAAAAAAAAGAAAGAAAGAAAGAAGAGATGAATAGAAAACAGACTGTAAAAGACTTTACACTCCCTAAAAAGGACACTGAGAAATAATAATGCAGCGTAGCATTGAGTCGGTACAGAACAAATGGCGTAATTTGGTAATATCCTGTGGATGGATGGATTACTTCCTCTATTGTTGTGTAGCCTATAATCGCGCCTATAATGTTACTCTCGCTCCAGTCTGCCGTGGCAGGCTGGCGCATTTGTAAGGCTTTTTACTTTATAATTATAATTATTATTATTTTCGTCTCTATCTTGTGTTTTTGGTGTCCTTTCTTTAATGTAAATACCAAGTGATTTAAATTTGTAAATAGGAAGCGATGAAGGAATTTGTCCAGATCGTATATTTTGCCTAATAAACTAAATGAAATTATAGACAAAACACGAGTATCCTTATACTATATTTCTTTGCTACTTGGTTTTATTACACATTACTAATATTAGTATTAATACTATAAAAGGAGAACACTGGCTTTCTACCAATTTCATTTAAAAAAGGGTGTGAATGGAATAAAAAAAAAAAAAAAAGATATTGGCAGTCTGCAACCAGGCTTAATTTTATTCAAGTTTGGTAGGAAAGCAGCGTGGATGCATTGAGGTGCTAATAAGTGTCCAGATGGTAGCTGGTGACAGAAAATGGACAGGAGCAGCTGGGAAGGTCATTAAGTAATAATATGGGAACGCCCAGTCCAAACAAAATCAAATGGTTAAAATCTAATCTGTCAGGGAGCGAAGTCGATTCAAAGATAAATTATTAATATTTTAGTTTCTGGAGGTGCAGGGGGCTGACACGGTTGGCCCTGAGGAGTAGGGTCAGTGTTTGGGGTCCGTTCTGTCCCGCGGCTGATGGTGATCATTAGCCTATAAAAGCAGATTCTTTGCTTCTCAATCAGTCACCGAAGACAAATATTGATTCACCCCGACAGTCTAATGGGGTTTAAACATAAAGAAGAGGGAAGGGGTGAAGTAATTAGCAATGATGGGAGATGATGTTAGCACTTTTTTTTTCATTACAGCAACTCCTACACTATAAGTAACATTTCTAATGATCTTCTGCAATAACGACTTTTGGTAATTTTGTTTTTCCTCCAATTCGATAAAAAACTTTTTTAGTTTATTATTATTTTTTTTACTTCAATTCCTTTTAAATTACTTCAGTTGAGACGCATTTAAATATTTATTAAGGCCCCTTTCTAAATGCCAGTAACTATTCAAATTTAGGTCAATTGTTTGAGTGGCCTGAACCTGTGGAGTGACTCATGCGCTCTGTTTTGCAATATCACAGCGACCTCTATAGGCGAAGATTATAATGCGTGAAACAGTTTTCACCCTCCAAAGGTCTGTAAATGACGTGGAAGGACAGTCCTGTAACTATTATCGTTCCTAATTCATTAAGCTTTACAGTTTAACTGAAATCCGATGTAATGGGCTGTATTATGATGTCATAGATTCCAGAGAAATACACATTGCAAACCTAGAAGTCGCCGAAATTCATAGAAATATTGCTATGCAAAATTACCATGATATATTATTATGAATAATAATTTGTTAGGGATCAGGATCATTTTATATTTTGAAAAAATAATCTGTAAGAAATAATCAGCTATTCAGGGCTGTGTTGTATTACTATTTGAAAAACCCATAACTTCCAAATTATGTTGTGACAAATAGTTTCACCAAAACCTCTATAGCAACATGCAAAAGTGATTCATTCTTTTTTTAATTCTCAGTGAACGTTGACGAGACCGTTTGGGCATAAATATGTGTCACTTAAATGGCACTTTGCTAAACGCAGTCAAAGATAAATTAACAAAGGTCACTGAGGGTTTCGTTGAAAGCAGCGGGGTCATTCCACTGTTATGGATAAATTAACACAACTTAACTCACAGCACAATTACATCATGATATCCAAATAGAAGAATCTTAGTTCATTCAACAGAGCAAAAATAATAGGCAGTTTTTTCCCCATAATAGTCCAAGAAGGATGTTTAATATGAATATCAATATTATCTCAACAGTCCTTTTTTAGCACTAACTCAATTGGCATAAAAAAAATCTATAAGTATAAAGTGTTCCAACGCAAAATATGTGGACATCAATTGTTGGAAATTATATTAATAATAAGCCACGTGAAGCCCAAACGGTCTACTGCCAACTTCACTTGTGTTCCCAATTGTGCTTTGGCAATAATGATTCTCATATTGCGGCGGAAAAAGGCAGGTGTGTAAATTCAACATGCCCCCCTCCCTCCGCCGGTGCCCCATTTGCACATAACATCCTCTCATGAGCTGGCTTTTGCGGGCTAAAATTAAATAACCTCTCGGTGTCCCATTTATTTCTTTTGTACTGAAACAGCGTGAGGTTAGCGCAAAGGCGTTAGCTGCAGGCCATAATATTGTGTTCCCATAATATATACAAAATTATTCATTTTGTAAGTGGATGTACAGTGGATTGTCTAATGGGTAATGAGCGGAGCTGCAGCTGATAATTAGACTGTCACTTCCAGCCATTTCTATTCCCAATGCCCTGGGCCACGACGCAGGGGGAGGAAAGAAAATAAAGACCATGACAAAATAAATAAAAAGAAAGAAGAGCGGAAATGTAAATATGAAGAATAAAGAACAATAGTCTTTGCGAGGACCGAGGTAAATGCATAATGTTTTGCGGTTTCAAAACAGCGTCTTTGTTAGACTGAGTAAACAATGCGTATATTATGGTAATTTCCCATTAATGGCTAAAGTGGTGAAAATAAAAAATAACAATTACCATAGATTATATTGTAAATCCATTTACTCATTAAAAGAGTAAGAAATGAGCTGTTGTTCTGTTTCTTAAAAGAAAAAAACTATCAACTATTTCTAGCAACGTCTGAAAGGCTCCGACTCCTTCAAAGGCAAGAGGAGGTCCTGCCGCTTTCATCTGACGACTGACTGCAGAAACCTACTCGGGAGATATGTGAATTGTGGCTCATGCAAAGACAATAAGTTGTTGACCCTAAAACAATTTAGCATTCTGTCGCAGCCTGTGGCCCCCCCATAACACCACAGTCTTTTGTTGGTGAACAAGGGCCATCTCCCGCTGCAACTGAGACGTGTCACACTGTGGCTATCCATTCATTTTAGTGGTGAATTACGCGCTGTGACAGTTTCTGTGTGCGTGTTCGTGTGTGTGTGTGTGTGTGTCTGTGTGTGTGTTAGTGCGCGCCTAACGGGGAGACTGAGGAGGAGAGAGGCGACTGCATGGGGAGGAAAGTTTATCACTGTCTTGTCTTTTTAGGAAGAAGCAGGCCATTCTTTCGACAGACTCGACCCCTTGTAGCCCAACAACCCCAATGTCTTTGCCTCTTCCCCTCCCGTCTTCCACCCCCCCCCCCCCCCTCCCCCTCCCGCTTCCCCTTCAACATCTCCGTTGTCTTTTCTCAAAGATGCCCGCCCATATCTGCGCCCCTCTAATCCATTTATCTAGTTTCACGAGTGCAGCACTGGTCGCACGATGACACAAAAGGCGTCCCCGGCCCCCCCCCCTGGGCCCAGCTGGGATACACACACACGACAACAAGCGACAACAAGTCGGCGGCAGCAGCAGCCACAGCGGGGCCACCATCCAGCCCTGCTACACCGCGTTTAGCCCACTACTTTGCTCCCGCTCCTTGTTTCAGCGACACAATGGCAGTGAAAGGGGACGGATGCCTCGGTCACAGGCCTTTCTTTGCAGGAGTGATAGGCTGCTGTAAGACACCGTGCTTGCCACAGGAAGAGGTTGGAGGATTCGGTTGGAAAAAAGGGAAAAACGGGAGGGGAGGGAGGCTTTCGGCACGGCTACACTCGAACACAAATAGCAACAAGGAGCTGGTGCTTGCCTGACAACTGGCTAGCTGGCTGACTGACTCGCTGCCGGTTCAGCAGCAACTCACAACAACTCAACAACCCGTGCAGACCCCTGCTGACACAGAAACCGGGGCCTGGCTCATAGATATATATATATATATACTAGGAATAAACACGGTCTCTCGCTCATGTTTGGCTGGTTTCCTTTCATTTGGCCACTCAAAGCGACATTCTCATGTTTTGATCGGGCAAGAAAGAGAGGAGGAGATAACAAAGCGAGGCAGCGAGTGCAGTCGGGTAAAGTTTTTTGCTCAGTTGAACATTTCTTTCTGACTCTGAGGGAAGAACACAGGAAAGCTCTTTCACTCCTCTGCAAAGAGGACAATATGCCTATTTGGATTTTGGTCAAAGTGCCGAGCCAAATATTGGGGCACTAATTAGCTGGCCTAATCTAGAAATATTACCCTCAAATCCGATATATCCGAGTTGAAATGGTCTATTTTAAGAGACCTCGGCTGAACATGGAGGTTCATTACTATCTTCTTGTTTGCTACATGTTTGTTGATCAAAGTTGTTTCATTGTCTCTGTTGTTGTTTAAAGGGCACTGACAGGGTCCAATACGCACGCATAACGCGCACACACACACGTTCCCGGAGTAGAGCTTCTGTTCCATTAATGACTCCGCAAACCAATTAAAGCTGCCTGTCTTAAGTTCTCCTGAAGTATCGGTACGTAGCAGCCCCACCAGAACCGTACTATATTTAGGGGAAAATGCCTCGCGATTCCCCCTCCCTCTCACACACACACACACACACACACACACACACACAGTACGGTTTACGCATGCACACATTCCTGGTACAGTCAGAAATATTTTGCCTTAATTATCCTTCAGTGTGGATCATGTTCTTCAGGAGGGACGAGTAATGATGGGGGTATTTATAGTCATTCATTCCCCCCCTGTAATTATACACTCTTCAAAATTGGGCTTTTTACATTTGGCATGTGCTTGCCAACGTGCATTAGACAGACAGCACTGTTGTTGCGATCTCTTTGAAGTGAATCCCCAAACACGAATGTGATGGAAAGTTTTATTCGATGCGATACCACGTCTCTTAGTTAGCACTGAGTTTGTTTCCCAAGTGCTAGAGGGGGATTGTTTCCTTTAGTGCTGCTGCGGTATCGGTTCATCTGGACACGATGGGGCACCAGCAATCTCTGTGCAGCCAAATCAATTTACAGGTGTAAAATGTCATACATGACATTACCTGCTTTTTGACCACATCTGTCTTTTTTACCTCTCAAATTAGAGCCATATGTACAGGGCGATGAGAATGTGCTGCTATGTTTACATTTCAATTCTGTGTAAATCACAGGTATCACACACGGTGGGTAAGCTGACACTTGTTTAAAAGGCAGCTGTGTGTGTGTTTTCAATAATAAAACGACAATCGCCACGACAAGGAAGCCAAGGGCCTCGTGCCCCCTTCTCCTCCCCGCACAGATATTTCCACAGCGGCAGATAATAAAGTCCGATTCTCCCGCTTTCTTTTC